TGTCTCTTCCAACCTAAGCCATTCTGTGATTCTATGTCAGGTGTCCTGCTGTGCTTGTGGATCTTGGTTAAGAAAGGGATGATGGCTCGTTTGTGGGGCAAAATAGTGAGTTTGGAGGTGAGTGAGCTACAAGAGTAAATGGCTGATAATCAGAATGCATGAGAGTGTAAATGGGAGCTCTGTGCCGGTTCTCACAGCACGTTCAGAAGTTAGGCTTTTAGCTGTAAATGCAGGTGTGCCACACTTCATGTGAAATAGTACCTATAAATGGAAATGTGGTGTGAAATCCATCATTGGAAGGTCCCTCCACTTGGATGGAAAAATACCCACTGGTGCAGATCAGGGGTGTCATGAGCTAACTTTGCTTTCTGGGAAATCGCTTCCCCCACTCTGTTGGTATAATAAAAGATTCGGTACTGTGTTTGACATGTACTGTCTGAGATCCCAAATTTCTGTCCCCATTGCAGAAAATGTTCTGTGTGGTAGCAAATTCATATTAATGCAGCTTTCAAGCCCAAATAGAGCTTGATGTAAAGGAGCTTTTGTAAAAGGAGGTTATAATTTTTGTCACCTACCCCTTAATTTTCAAAGTATGAGCGCTTTTCCCCTAATTCTATTGTATCAGGTTTTATACAGAGAAGCTAATTTGCATGCTCAAGCTACACTGAAAAGATTCCAGTCTGCAGGTAACATTTATTAGCAGAGACAGTACTCCTGAGATGTGTGTTTGCTTAATTTTTCATCTTTAAATAGAAAGGAATGACAAAAAAAAACAATTTGTTGACAAGAGAAAGAAGAAGGGATCTCTAGAGGCATTGATGAAGCAGTCATGATTTCTAAATAGCTTCTCATTGATTGATTTTTAGCCACTGGGAAGAAATAGAGTATTTCTGCAGAGATTTCAGGGAATTCTGCTGAGATTTGAAGGAATTTCCATTACTTGCCTAACAAATCCCTATTTAGCTTGCTGTGCTGATCTAATTCCTTGGTTGCCGGAGTCCAACATTTATCACTTCCAGCAGTTTTCATTTTCCACTGAACATCACCGCTGGGAGAAAAAATCTGTTTTCCAGTTATGGGAATCTGGACTGAGTCACACCTGGACCTGCAGGGAGTCCAGCCCAACCCTGTCAAATCCAACGTGGACTTGAGAACCTGCGGGGATTTCCTGAAAAAGAAATGATTGCCCCAACCTGAATACTCTTGAAATCCTAGCAAAATGTTGTTGGGAGGAAAGGCTCCTAGCCACAACTTCACCTAACCAAAATAAGACGTTTTTCAATACAAATTGGTGATGTCTTCACAAGTGCCAGCAAACTCTGTTTGCTGCCATTTGTTTGATGCCATTCAGGTCCCAGTCCTGCCATGGGTGCTGTATGGATGGGCACCATTGGGGTACAACAAGAAACGTGGGGTGTGTGAGCTTAAGCAGGTTTGTTTAAACAGTGAGGTGAATGCAATCCCTGCAGCAGACTTACAAGGAGCAGGCAGATAGAGTTTCTGATATGCTGAAGAAAAATTAACTTTTTCATCAAAATATTATGAACCCTCCACTGTTGGGAATGCTACTACTTGTGACGTGTGGCACATGAATTTAAAGATGTTTGTCTTTGGAAAAATAAATTTTGCTCACTGTATTGCAGTTTTCAGTTGTCTCTTTATAAATCAACATTAAGTTTCTGTGACTGTATTCTTTGTCACTGAATTACAGATCTGTCAGCCGATAAAGGGTAGTGCTGGAGAAAAAGACAGAATTGCCAGTTGGTTTATGCTGATCTGGTACAACAGTTTCCTTGTTATTTGATAGCAGCTAAAATGAAGCAACACATTCTGTTATATGCTTATTCTCATATAATGCCACTGATGTGTGCCTGACTGGGGATGCTTCTCTTGGTTTTGATGAAACACGGGGGCAATGATATATGTGTGCATATTGGACTTGCTGAAGATAAAACAGTGTGTCAGATTTGGTGTGGGAAGGAATGGTGGTCTGCAGCAGTGGCAATGGCCCTGTCTCCTATGACTTTATTATGGTGAGGTGTTTACTCCTGGGCCTTTTGTTTAACACAACCATAGAGAAATTCCATGGAAAATTTTAGTTCCTTTTGCTGTCAGACAAATAAGGTGTGTTATTATCACATTTTAATAAAGGTAGATACAACATTAAAAAAGAAAAATCAGCACTTGCAATTGCTTGTATCAATATATAATATAAGTTAAGTTTGACTTGACCTTTATTTATCTTTAGATCTGCCATCCAGAAGCTGGGAGGAGAGGTATTTGAGAAGGTATACACCTATCTGAAGCAGGCGAGACAGCAGAAGACCAGTGAGGAAGAAATAACGAGACACCTGGAGAAACTGGTTCCTAGAGCAAGTGATTGCTTTGAGGTGGATCAGCTCCTCTACTTTGAGGAGCAGCTGCAAGATTCAGAATCGTATCTTCAGCTGTAAGATGTGCAGGTAACAGTTTGGGAAATAATGAGCAAGACAGTGCTGAGCTGCCTGCTTCAGGCCAGTGAACAAATCCTGGAGGAGTCTGGAGGAATCTGCTGAAGGTAACTCAGAACATAAACAGTAGACAGGCTGTTGGAGAGTCCAATCTGTGCAGTGAGCAGTGGGCAAGTACAGTATAGATTACAAGGGTAGGAAGGAAAACTTACAGAGGGGAGAGTTTATAATTATCGGTGTTCCTTTCACTGCTTAGGGCATAACGGAAGAGTTCTCTTGGACACTAGTCAGTGGCAAAGCTGCCACTGAAGGCAATGGTGCAGGATTAGGCTCCAGCTGTTGTTTATTCCTGCACTGACTGGCCCTTGTGGCATTTAAGCACATCTATTTTGTACTATGGCAGAATACAAATGTGTATGGCTATTCCTCCACAAATTGTCTTGTTGCCATTTGTTGTCTAAAGAACTGCATTTAATTTGTGTGTCTTTCAAAGGAACTGTGAAAATATAGATCACATAATCAGGGAATGGCTTGGGTTGGAAAGGACGTTAAAGGTCATCAAGCTCCAACCCATGCCATGGGCATAGCACAGTCACTTCCCACCAGACCAAGCTGCCCAGAGCCCTGTTGTACCTGCTCTTGAATGTTTCCAGGCATGGTGCATCCACAGCTTCTATGGGCAGCCTGTGCCGGGCCTCACTGCCCTCTGAGTGAGTTTTATTTCTAATATCTAATTAAAGTCTCCCCTCTTTCAGTTTAAAACCATTCCCCCTTGTCCTGTCACTATCTGACCATGCAGAGTTGGACTCTCTCCTGTTTATAAGGGTTTTTTTAGTACTGGAAGGCCATAGTGAGTTATACTCTCAGCCTTTCTTCTCTGGACTGAACAAGCCCAGCTGCCTCAGCCTTTCTTCATAAGAGAGGTGCTCCAACCCTCTGATCCTCTTCATTGCCCTTCATACACTCCAGCAGCTCTGCATCCTTCTTGTGCTGGGGTACCCAGACCTGGATGCAATACTTGGGCAAAGCAGAAGGGGACAATCCCCTCCCACTCCCTGCTGGCCACCCCTCTTTGGATACAGTCCAGGATACTGTTGGCCTTCTGGGCTGCAATTGCACACTGTTGTCTCATGTCAAGCATGTGTATATTCATCCACGCTTACTCACATACATAGAAATAAGTATATATATGCATAGAGACGGGAAAACATTTGGCCACATTGTTGTACATGTTTAAGTTTACAGAGACAGAGAGATGAGGCCAGAGCTGTAGATGACTATGACAGCTAGGAATTCTTATTACAGATTCTCAAAGTTTTTTATCACTGTACACAGAACAATAAATCAATTTTCTTTTGCTTGCACACAGATAATGGTATTTTTTTTTCATATCATTTATGTTTCCCTCTTCATATGCATCACTCTTTTGCTGATTGGAAGTGCATATTATGCTGTGATAATATACTTGTGCATTCTGAGCTCCTTTGCCTATCTGTGGAACAGTAACAGATAACAAGTAATACAGTCTATAGAAGAATCTCAAGTGAATTGTGGAACAGTTTAGTTTTAGCCATCTAGCCATTATCAAAAGCCCTGCGTACTCTGTTTTTTGCCATAACTCTTCAAGTGCTCAAGAGCTGAATTAGATGAATGAAAGTAAATTCATAATGTGAACTTCAAAAAAATGTTGCTACTTGACTTGGACTAAAACTAAGGATACTGGGATTGTAAGTAAAGTAAGTAAAGTAAGGACAAGAACTGATTCATCTTTGTGACGTGCATGAAGAGATTCAAAGGGAACAGCAATTGATCATCCTTATCCATACCAGCAGTAACACAACCTGCAGAAGAAAAGTGCATACCCATCTAAGGAAGATGTGGCCTTTTACTGCCAGCCCAAAGTAGGAGATCCTGGTATGTCTGACTTCAGCTTCTGCTGGGAGTACATGAATGTGAAATGATATTCACTGAGGTTGCAAAACTGTTTTTGTCTGTGTGATGTTTCATGTCTCATAGGCAGAGAGACAGTTTGAAGCACAGATTCTCAGCCAGACTTCAGTCCCCATTCTTCTCAGTGCTGTATTTGTGTCCTTGATTCCGTGTGTTTTATACACAACTTCAATTAAGGCCACTTAAATATCAAAATAAGAGGAGTGCTTGGATGTGAATAATATCAGAGAGATACAACCTTGACTACTACACCCACCTCTGGCTGTGATTCAGACTGCTTTTTCACAAAAGCTTGAAAACCAAACTCTGTAGCCATCAATTGCTTTTAAGCATGTTTTATTTGTATTAATTTTCATATTTGATTACTCACAAAGCACTCAAACTCTCTGCTTAATACACGGAGTGTTTTGAATACCATGCTTGCTAATGTGTTGCAATGTAATAGAATTATTAATTATCTGTTTGTGCAAAATGTAATGTATGTATGGGAGCTGTTTCACAGCCTGAAGCACTGATTGATCACCTGAGGCGAGCACTGAGTCAGCCATGGAGCACAGGTGAAGGCAGTTCAGCTGTGTGATGGAAGGGGTGGAGCTTGGCTGCATCTTCTCCTAGACCCCATTTAAGGGCTGACTGCCACTGGGGAAGGATCTCTTTCTGGAGATTCCTCATCTGTGGAGTCTTTCCTGCAAACCTAGATCTTCAGATACAGGTGAGCATTCCTTCCTTGTTTGTTTCTTTTCCTATTTTCACCACGATAATCTTTCCAGTTGTAACACCAACTGTAACACATGCATAATAATTATATGCACACTTGAAAAAGTCTTGAAGTCAGTTTGAAGTTGTTGTTTTTGTAGGTTTTTTTTTTTTTATACTCTTGAAAAGTTTTCAAACCTGAAGACTTAAACAGTAGTTAACATCTGCAGTGTGCTAATCTACCACAAGTACTAGCAACGTTCTGAATCCAAATACCTAAATAAGGTAATCAAGAAATGGGGAAAAAAAAATCAACAAAATAACTGTCTCCCAATAAACCCCTGCCCTTTCCAGGTCACATTCATTCCAAAGTTCTCAGCAAACTGTTGAATTTACATCATCCAGATAGGGGCCAACTCTCAGAGGCAGGTCCAGCACTGCTATAGCTTTATACAACTCACTGAAATTGTCTTCTGTTTTTCTGTCTCTTGAACTCTTAGGGAAGGATATGCATCAGTTCAGCTCCATTCTGAAGCTTGTTAAACCTGTTCCATACCTGGGTTTTAGGCTGTCTTCACTTAAGGGCCTTTGAGTCCTCTCCTGCACTGTGTAGTTAGTAGCTATCAGTGGACATCTGGTGTGTTATCCCCATCCCTGCAGAAATGGGTGCGTAAGTCCAAACATGTGACAAAGAACAGTTTTGTGCATCCCGGGGCAGAGAGGTTGGTGCTGCAGTGCTGATAGACTGTCTCTGGTGAGCTTAGTGAGACTGCTCTTGATGCAGCACTATGAGGATTAGATGGAACTGTGTTGATTGAGATGCCATGCTGATGATCTCTTGTATATGGTTATTGGATTGATCATTTTTCTGTAATCGCATTTGAAAGGAGAAAAGTGAACTCTGAACTAATAAAAAAAAAATAAAGTAGGGTAGGGAATGATATCCTCAGAGATTAGTCACTCCTAAGAAATGCAAAAAGTTTCAAGAAAACAGGTGCTCAGGAAAACAGGGCAGAATGGTCACTACATCATGATTTCCATGAAGGAATGGTTGTGCTCCATCAGGCTGTCAGCAGGCCTCACTGCTCTGCAGACAGCTCAGCCTAGAGAGATGTGCAGTCCTTTTCTAACCTGGTAAACTACTGATGGATGGGGAGAAATAAAATCATCGCATTATACTGAGATCTAGATAAACACAGTGATTGCCATAAAAGATGATTTTTTTTCCTTAGAAGATAAGATCTTATATAAAACATGTTTTAATTTTCAGGTTTATTGTGCTTGCTGCGGAAAAGGGCTTATGTTGAAGAAAAGACTGAATCCCTACCTTCTATATATGAAATGCATTCCATACATTGAGGTAAGTTCATCCAGTAAAATCCTGTTGTTAATATTGTGGATCTTTAGTAATAAAGCAATAGAGGAGCAGCTGGACATAAATGTAAGAAAATAAATGTGAAGATATTTGATTGTTGTGTATAGGCCTTCATAAAAGGTCCCATTTGACCTACGTACTTGTACCAAAAGCTTCACAAGTATCAGGCAACCTTGCTGCTTTTTTATTGACTCTCCTAAAGACTCTACAAATTGTAGTACTTGATGCAGAGATATTGCAAAGAAAGGAAGTGAGGCAAGTAATTATTTAATGGTTTTAGGCCTTGAGCTTACTAAAAGAGTGCTTGGACTATAAAGAGGAAAAGGACATTTGAGTTATTTGATGAGAAATAGAGCTGTCAACATCTTTTCCACAGGTGGATTAGAAGGCAGACCAATTATATTTGTTACAGAAAACAAGCAGTTCTTTCTTAGAGGTGACTGGCTTGCCAGGTAATCCCTCAGGGGGCACCAGAAGGCATCTTTCTATAATATGAATTGTCAGAGGTTTCCAGTGTCTGAAAATCCTTTCCAGCGCAGGAAAGGATCACCCTTCCCACAGGACCTGGCTCTGTGGGTGCTGCCCAGTGATGACTTGCTCTGAGGTGTGCTCAGGGCCAGAGCGTGAACCTACTCTGACCACTGCTGGCTCTTGAAGTCCACACAAACCAGGATGGTGGTGCATTGAGCAAACACACAGGCAAGAAAAAGGTAGGAGGCAGCAAAGGATGCTTACCGTTACCTCTAAGACTGAACTTTTGGTACACTAGAGTGAAAGAATATGCTGATAAGAGGAAAAAAAAGCAGCAGATTCAGGAACAATAAGCATGTAAACTTACTGGATTTCATGTTTTGTTCATGTGCTTGTTTCATGTCATAAACTGAAAACCCTGTAGACTCCTCTGAATACTATGTTATTCAGGAGAGAGAGGTTAAGGGGTCCAAAACTGGACCCTAATTCAGGTGCAGCTTCATCTAAGCTGTTATGAATACTAAATTCACTGTCTGCTGGCCATGTTCCTCCTAATTTATATAATCTCAGAATGATGGAATGAATTTCTAGCTTATATTCACCCTAGAAGCTACTGCAAGCTATAAGTCCTCCTTATAAAGTCTGATGTTCAGCCATATCATGGGGTTAGTGCTGCCCAGGTGCAGGACAGGTGCTTTTCTCCTGAATTTCATGATGTTTCTAGTGGCTCAGTCCTCTATCTTCACCAAGGCCAGTGAGGCCCTGCTGCATGTCTTCTCACCCACCTCCTCTAGGTTAGTAACATCCCCAGATGCTTGGAGTTCATCTGTGCCCATCATAGTTGCTGACAAGATGCTGAGCAGTGCAGGCCCCTGGGTCAGCCCTGAGGAACTCCATTGGCTGCCACTGGATGCTATGCCTTGAGATGGGCAGTTTTCAACTCAGATGTATGTTCATTCATTCCTTATGATTGGAACTTCCAAATATACCATACTGGCAAAGAATAAAAGCCTTAGTAAAATCAGGGTATATAACATCCACCTTCCTCCCTTCTTCCATGTATCTCATCACAGAATGAGAGACAAATTCTGTCCTTGATAACTTTATCCCTGCAGATCCCTCAGGGACTGCTTATTGTGCCATGGCCCATGGGTATTCCCTTGGGCTGTACTGTGTTCCTTCAGCATCTCTAGTATGGTTTTTATTTCAATTTTCTTTTTTTCCCCCCATACTTCAGCCTCCTTTTTCTGGCAGAGGCTGCTATATTGATTCACTTCTAGCAAGAGTCAGCAGTGTGAAGGTAGTCTTAAATAATGCAGTGGGGTTTGTGCCATCTGCTCTCTGTGAGCTCCACTGAACTCCAGAAAGCTGCTGTGGGGCCTTCCTAGTGTGTGCTGTCTTGTCCCCCTCTCCTCCATCCGCAGGGCAAGGACAGAAAGCAAGAGAAACTCAGAGCTCAGGAACAATCCTTGTTATGGAGAGAGGCTGTCTCACATGTGAGGATGAGCATTATTCTCTTGATGCCTTTGGGCGTCTGACACTTGGTGGTATATTGCCACCATCCTACCCCTGCCAATGAGCTTTGGAGTCTTCTCATCTTGAGTGTTCTTTAGGGAAGAACTTGGCTCCTAATGCTGATGGAAACTGCTGTGGACTCCCCAGCAGCCTGATTTTGTCAATTACTGACACTGAGAGGCATATCCTGCTATAGGCAGTCTTGGTGACCAGTGCTGGTTTGTGAGAGGAGTGCTGCTCAGTCAAGCTGGGGTGAGGATGAGGAATTGGGCACTGGATTACCTGCAGATCTAGCTCCAGGTCTTAGCATCTGAGGGAGGTGCCCAGGTTTTGCTGCAGCCCTTCATGAGCATGTCTGGATTCATACTCATGATGCAAGACCTGTTTTGAGCTAATAGTGTGCCAGGGAGATTTGCAGAGAGTGAGAAAAAGAGCTCTCACAAAGACAATGAGTCTCCAGACTATCTAATGACTACTTAATATGCGTCTAAGCATTGCACCGTTATTGAATTTTAATTGCCTTCTCTCTGTCTTTGTGCTTTAAAATGAAAAAGGAGAAAACACTACATGTAATGAGGGTGGATGATTAAAAAGTAATACCTAAGAGACAGACAGGCATGTGTGGATAAGACCACAATAATAATGCAATGAGAGAAAGCAACACTACTTTGTGCTTGCCACCTCTTTGGATAGAAAGTGTGTTTTTACAATTGTTAAAAATGTAAGTTATTCTCAGCATCATTTGGTAGAATAATAGACTAATGTGTATCTGTGAGGCAATTAAAGTTACACTGAATGAAATATGGGTTAATTGTTAATGTACAAAAAATCCAATCTATGTTACCAGGTCAGTGCAGATGGGCTTTTTAAAGATTGTTCTTTGGTGTTGTGTTGTTACGGATCTCTGCTTGGATTATTTTACATCATGTTAGTTGTGCAAGCATAACTTTGAGCAGTAGACAGCAGGAAGGTCCTAATGAAAGGAGACAAAGAGAGCTCTGTATTCATGAAGCATTTAAGCATGTAGTTAGCTTTGTGCACCCGCCCCACTGCTGCTAGGTGATAGTTGTGCTGGCAGGAACACAGGAGGGTACTACTGAGAGAAACACAGGATAGGGACTTTTTGCTTCTCAGCAAGGTCTTCAGATCTACAGGTCCCGGCTTTGAGGCAACAAGCATCATCAGTGTTGTTCATGACATTGCCAGCCCTTCACTGGTGGTCCAAAATGTCCACCCTGGATAGTGTTGATGACACCATTAGCTCCTGAGCTGAATTCAGGCTAATGTATTTCAGCTGATAATAATAAGCTGACAAAAGCAATCTGGAAGGCACTGTTGTTCTAGGAGGCTTTACTTAGCACTAGGAGTGCATGAAGAAGTTGACTGAGACATTGCAGGGGGAAGCCACTGAAGAAAGAGTTGCTGTGTGTTACCTCTGCATCATCCTCAGCATCACTAGCAGTGGAATTCCTTCCCAGAAAAGGACCTAGCCTAGAAAACAGCTGAATTATTCTTACAGTCTAGTTAGTCATGGAGTCAGAGAGCTATCTCTGATGCAAAGTAGAGAAAATGTTCAGTTAAGGAGACTGTAGAGACCTAGATCAGGAGCCAAGACACTAAATCTGGATGGGACAGGGGATGAGACAAGACCCAATACAAATTAAGTTTATTTTGTGTTTCCTCCTTCAAAAGTCTTCCTAGTGTCCACAGGCACTCTCTCAAGTGCTCCTGGAATACATTAGTACAAAAGTGAAGATACAAAATGGTATGTGGTGAAGCTGCTGCAATTACCTACAGTCTGTATGGAGAGCACTCTGGAAACAACTGAAGATTCAATAGAGAGCATCCCCTGAAGGCTTCAACCACCATCAGGGAATTCCCCGAGGACATGGCTGTTTGCCTTTGCTGGTAGCCCTGTTAGAACCAACACAACCCCTGCTCACAGTGACTGACCATGTGCCCCCACTAACCTGCAGATAAGGGGTGTATTTTTCTACTAACAAAAACTATTTGCAGGCAGAAGAGTAAGATGGGCCATTGGACCATTTTCTGCTCCCTGGAGCTTCAATGCTGTGTGCCCTCTATACCCAAAAAGCAAATGGTGATTTTTCCAAGATATTGTATGGATAGTGTATAATCAATGAATATTAAGATGTTATAATTATGAAATAAACAAGAGAGTTTGACAAAGCAGATTATGATAATAAAAGGAGGATAAAGAGAAGGCTTACCCCATCCTGGGCTCACTTACAAAACTCCAGCAAAGCAGATTTCCAGAAGAGATCCTTCCCCACTGGTAGCCAGCTCCTAAATAGGTCTAGGAGGGATGGAGCCAGGCTTAACCCCTTCCTGCAGCACAAGTGAATTGCCTTCACCTGTGCTCCTGTGGCTGACTCATTGCTTGCCTCAGATGATCAATCAGAGGTCCAGGCCTCTGAGACTCAGCAGTTCCCATACACTCCACCCCTTCATGGCATGAACCAGTGATCAGATTGACAGAAGGGTAAGCTTTCCCTAATACAGAGATCTGCTATATCGCGCCACTTATACAATTTTCATCGCTCGTGTTGGTACAATTCAAGATGAGTGATGATCAGTGGATGTCCATATTCTTTATGGGCCAGTGCTTGATGACGTGACTGGAGGCATGAGGTCCTGAGGTGCAGGTCCGTTCTATGTTCCATCAGTCCCATGCAGACCATCACTGGGTGTTGTACTTGACCTGACAGTAACACTGGAATGCTTGATGGCATTTTGTTCTTCCAGTGATCCTGAAGGCTCAAAGTCTCACAGGGAGTAATACAGATGTTTCAGAGGTACCAGGAGGGGAAGGTCTGCTCTCCAGGGCAAGACACAGGCTGTATTTCTGTCCTGAGTCAACGCTTCTGCTTGTACTGGGGCACGTCCTGGCTGCCTGTACCACACCTTCTGGCCGGATGTCTGTGGCTGCATAGCAATATCAGGCACCAAAGGAGGTGTCCTGATCTGCCACAGGGACA